TTCGAGGTGGAGCCAAGTTAATTCCCTGGAGCTCACAAAAAATCATGATGAAGTCACCAGCCAATATGGAGGAGAGCCAAGTAGTTGCCGTTTAAAATATGTTTTTCAAAAACAATAGTTACATACACATATACACAGAATTGAATCCAAGTTACATACACATACACACAGAACCCAGCTTATATTTACACATATAGGGTTAAATCCAAATCTCTCTCTCTCATACACACACACACATTAAACAGGAGTTCAATAAAGTAAAAAAAAAAGGGGGAAACCAGTGTGTGCTGAGCCAGATGAAGCTGGCTTCTCCATCTCAGACTCACCTCACACATTGCAGCAAACAGGACACTTACAGAGAGAGAGAGAGAGAGAGAGAGAGAGAGAGAGAGAGAGAGAGAGATCTTGGAACAAAGAAAAAGGAAAGAAAGTGGAGAGAGAATTCTTTCTCTGTTCCCCGACTGCCTAGTCCAAAGAATACTGAGGTCAGTCTCACATCGAGGGGAATGGTCAGAGGTGGGTAGCCCCACCGGAAAAATCAATGGTTGGTATTGAATGGAAAGCAAAGCTGTCTGTGAATGAGAAAGCAAATTTGTTGCAGGTGGAAGAGAACAGATCCGCGGGTGCAGGTAAGTTACTAGCGTGAAGTGGGTACCTTTGGCGGGCCCTGCCAAGGTATGCCGCTAAGCAAACATGCCACACACAACAGGGTTAGTCCGAGAGGTTTATTGGGAGGGGGAGAGCCAAAGTGTAAAAGGGTGCATTGGAGTGGGGACTTGAGAGCGACAGGCAGGCAAGAGGAAGAGAAGCGAGAGAAAAGAAAGGACAAGAGAGGGAATTAGAGGCAAGGAGAGGAGTAAGAGGCAAGAGATGAGGCAAAGAGAATGAGCTCTGCATGGAGGGCACTTTTAAAGGGTGCGTGCGCATGCCATGGAAAAGGACCTGGAGACAGGAGATGATGTAACTGCTTTGGCAGAGGCTGAGCAGGGGGGATGCGGCATAACAGGGGTGCACAGCAGCAGGCTTCCCAGCTAGCAGGAGCTGAGGAGAGCAGGAAGAAAGAACAGAGAGAAGGGCGTGGGAAAACCTTGAAAACAGGGTACCCCCTTCCATCTATTGGCTCGCTGGCTGAAGTTGCAAACGTCCCGTGAAATACCGGGATACGGGGTGCCGGTAAATGGCCATTTGGATTGATTTCTAAGGTGTATTAGGGCAAAGGCGGGTACGTTTAGCCCTTAAGTCAGGTGATAGGTATGGGGGTAGGCTCATTTTCCATGAGTGAGGTAGAGAAGATCCAAGAGCTGGAATCTCTAGTGTACCAGAAATTCAGCCAGGACTGGTGAGGAGGCACAGGCCCATCAGTGGATCCTCATCCAAAATAGAAGGGACAGATGGGTTAAGAGCCCAAGTGAGACACAGTCACCTGGTTCCAGGACTTCGAGAAAATCCAGAAGGCGAGGGCTGTGCTTGAGAAACGAAGCCTCACTCATGGGAAATGGCCAGAAGTGAAGAAGCAGGAGGGGGTAGCAATTGTCGGTGTTGGATGGAGAGTCCCAGCGATCTGTTAGGTGGGAAAGCAGCGCTGTGGGGTGGACCAGGTTCCAGGGTCTCAGCACATCTCAGACTGCTGGTAGAGCCTATCTGAGTCTTGGCACCAAATGTTGTATTTCAAAAATGACAGGAAGGAGTCACGCCATACAACAGGGCCCACATGGGAGGTTTACTGAGGGGAGAGGAGAGAAGGGGCAAAGAAGAGGGCAGAGACCGGGCCCCGGGGATGAGAGCGAAGGAAGAGAAAGAGACCAGAGGTGGGCAAGGCCTGCCTTTATAGGGAAATTTAGTGAATGTGCACAGGGGTTGTTCTTAGTGGCTGCAGCTGAGGATATGTCCTGTCAGGACCCTAAGGGCAGGCCAGTACAGATGCCTGTTAACATTGTCCCTTCACGGTCTCCGTTGTAGTTACCGCCTCTAGGTTCCTGTCTTGAGTGTCTGCTATGGCTTCCCCCAGTGATGGATTATCATCTGTAATCCAAAGCCTTTCTCCCCCAAGTTGGTTTTGGTCAGTGTTTTATTACAAACAGGAAGCAAACTAGGACTGATAGCTTCCTCATCCACAAAACACGACATCCTTTAGCATGGAGGAATCACCGCTTAAGGGTGTTTTTCCCCAAGTACCATGCACAGAAGGGGATGATGTTCTGTCGCTTCGGGATACACTCATCACCCTTGTGTGTGTCTCACACGACTCAAACTCAGAACATTTTCTCGGCCCCTCACTCTTTATGATACGTTACTATTACAGACACAGTACCTGCTGTATGGAAAGCACGGCTCTAAGTACTTTACACATCTTAACTCTTTCACCTTCATAGCACCCAGAAGAAAGATCACATAGATGGTGCTAGCAAGAACAAGGTGACACGTTTGTGTCCTGTACTTCGCTAGGCTAGGTCTATACATTTGCAGACAGCAATAGGTTGCAGCTAGGTTGTTGGTGTCTCCTTCTCCTCCTCCCTCTACCCTCTGAACCCCACTTCATCTTCCTCTTGTTTCTATTTTCTTCTTTCTCTTCTTGGACAGCCTCATTGTGTACTTTGGCTGGTCTTGAACTCTTGATCATCTTGCCTCAACCTCCTGAGTGCTGTGATTGGGTGTGCACCATCATGCCCAGCTAAGTATGTTTCTTCTTTCCATAGATATCTTTAAAGATTTTGATTCTGCACTACAATCTATTAATTTAAATGTCCTCACTTGTTAAGTATATGGCATATGCAGTGTTCTGGGATGGGCACTAGAAGTAAACCAACAAGCCGAGCCTGGCTCAGAAGGGACTGACATGCGGGAGGGATATAAAATCCTTTCATCAATACTTACTGTGCTGGATAGCTTTATGTCAATTTGATACAAGCTATAGTCATCCGAGAGGAGGAATCCTCAACTGAGAAATGCCTCAGATTGGGCTGTAAGCAAGACCATAGGGCATTTTCTTAAAAATGATTGATGTCAGTGGAAACCATCCCTGGGCTGATGGTCCTGGGTTCTATAAGAAAGCAAGCAAGTGTAGCCACCCATTACCCAGCACCCTTCCAGGGCCTCCGCATCAGTTTTTACTCCCGGTCCCTTCCCTATTGGACTTTCTATTCTAACTTTTGTTGATGATCAACAGTGATACAGAAGCATAAGCCAAATAAACCATTTGCTCAATAAAAGCCTAAATAAGACACTGATAGAAATATGTATCACAATTAAAAATTTCCAAGATAGTGATTGAATGTTTGGGAATGGTTTGGAATTTGATGGATGGATGGATGAGATGATAAAGACATAAAAGGCAGAGAAGGCCTTTCTATGGTACATATAGAGCAGGGGATATAAAAAAGAGCAAGATGGAAACCAGGTGTGGAAATAATTGGGTTATATGACCAGTGATGGAAGGCAGCTTCTTACAGCCTTGTGGCATGTGACAAAGAAGTGGATTTGGTGTCTGGAGAGATGCCTCAGTGGTTGACAGCAACTGCTGTTCTTCCAGGGGACCAGAGTTTGGGGCTCAGCTCTCATCCTAGATGGCTCTCAATTCACTGAATCCCCAGCTTCAGGAAATCTGTTACCCTTTCCTGGCCTCCATAGGCACCACATATAAGTGCATACAGCCATACATATACATACACAAAATAAAAAAATCTATTGAAAAGAGAAGTGAAATCAACTGTTAATGGAAATAGTGTTAAAAAATTAAATCCTGAAAACCATGGGTGTCGTATGTTTCCAACCCACCAAGTGGACAAGCTCGTGGATAGCTGCCATTCAAAGTGATTTGCCCTTCTTTCCAGCACCCCGCCTTTTCCTCCTCTTCTTTGGTCTCCTATATCTCTTTCCTGACCATTGTTCAGTCTCATTACCTCCAACAATAAACAAAGTTCATTTACCAAGGCTTAAAGTTTCAGAAAAATACTCGATATCTGCCATTAAGACATTATAAATGAATTTAAATTTCTGCCACTTTCTACTTGTGGATTCAAAAACTCCCTTTACTCATGGAATAACCTAAGCACTGTAATGATAAAGAAGAATGTGTTTTGGGTAGCAATAAGCTACTATGGGAAGAACCCTGAATTATTAAGTCTCAGCACCTCCTGTTGTCTCCCATATAAGACTCTTCCTGGCTCATGAGGATGCCTTCAAGCTTTGAAATATTGTAATTGAGAAAAGTAACAGAGTAGTAGTCATTTTTGCCACCATTGCCACAAAATACCAGACAAAATCAACTTACTTTGGCTTATAGTTTGGAGGCACAGTCCATCATTGTTGGCGAGGCACGGCAGTAGGGACATGACATAGCTGGTCAAATTGTGTATAGTGGCAGGACAGAGAGAAATGAATGCTGACGCTCAGCTTGCTTTCGCCTTGGACACAGTTCAAAAGTCACGACCAGTGGCAGACAGCATTGGGGTGAGGCTTCCCACCTCAACTAAGTCAGTTTAGCGACTCCCTTGCATACATGCCCAGAGCTTTGTCTACCATGTGATTCTGGGTCCTGTCGAGTTGGCCATCAATATTCACCATGACGGACAGCACTGGCAGCCTTTCAGCTCTGAGTCTTTTCAACAGTGTCCCCGTCCTCTCTGAGTCCATGTCCTATGTCAGATTTGCCTAAGTCTGATTAAAAGGTAGTGAGTTAGGACTCCTTTGATGACAGTCATTACCGTTAATTTATGTTTTCAGCTACCCTGTCTTTCTAGGCAGCAGGTTCCCCCACGGAGCTCTGTGTTTTTAAACATTCATCTTTCCATAACAGTGAGAGCTACTTACTCAGCTGACCTTCAGTGCTTGCCCGAGATTGCTGTCGTCCTTGTCAGTGAATAGAAATCTGCTGTGCTTCATTCCTAGAGGAAATGGGAAGGATAACTTTCTGAACGGCCTTGGTGCGTGTTGATGATGCCCTTCAGTGGGAAGATACTACTATTTCACCTTGGATTTTGATGGCCTCTTTCTCTTCGTAGATTGAAGAATCTATTGAGACGAACTTCGGCAGTCACAGCAGGAGGGCCATCCTCTTCAGGCCCCTTTCATGCAGCAGAGCGGAGCTTCAGATGCACCAGCACCTCCTTGACCAGCATGGCTACAGTGTTGGCACTGTTGAAGAAAGACCTGGTGCTGCCCTAGATCTGGAGCTGTTGGACCAAGGTCAGGATGATAAGTAACTCTCAGAGTTACTCCACATATGGACACGTTCTAGACTATGCTGCTAATTTTCTTCCTATCAAACTGTTTCACAAAACAAGGTTTTATCTATGATCAAATATCTCATATCATATACACTCAGCTTCTTTGATTATTTTTATTACCTTTTCTCTATTTGCTTTAGTTAGAGCTCTTTATTCTTGAAATGATTCTGTTTGCATTTTGGAGTCACATAGTTCATATTTAAATGCTACATTAAAAATGTTTATGTTTATGTGTGTGAATACATATTCTTTCTAGCACTGAACTGCTCCATATTTTAAGAAAATTGCCACTTCATTTGATGGCAAGTAGAATGTGCTGGAAATTATTTTGCAAAGCCAGTTGAAATGGGATTCGCAGATGGTTCTACATAGGAAAGTGGTGAGGACATTCATTATACATTCCATTAGTCATCAAGTATTTTCATTTCTATCATTTGAAGAGAAAAATAAGAAACAAGTTGTTATAAAATTACTTGAGAGAAAATTGAGTACATGAAGAAGGTTGAGAGAATAAAATGAGTTACAGCTACTACCTCTCCAAGAGCTGAACACAGGGTAGGTCCCACACTATACTCTGTATTCATGACCTTATTCAACACACTCTGTCACTGCCTGACTAAAATGAAGAAACATGAATGGAAACTGAGTCTTTCTGGGAAGAAATAGACTATAATGATGTGAGGGAAGGATGGATGGGAGGCCCTGAGTCCCACGCTCATTTCCTGTGTTCTTCTTCTTTGCTCCTCTGCTGCCTTAGTCTCTTGTGGCTCATTATCCTGCACTGAACTCATGGGAGATACAGTGATGCAGACTATGCATTGAGCATAAGCTAGTCACATTTTCATTTTTATGAAGACACAATATAGCCATCCCTCAGTGCCCACAGAGGATTGGCTCCAGGGCTCCCTGCAGACACCCAAACCCCTTTTATGAAATAGTGCAGTCTTTGCAAATAACCACCACACACACATATTTTGAATCATTTCTAGATCATTTATAATACCTAATACAACATACATATAACACACATCATTTTTATGCATAGAGCATTATTCAGGGAATAATGACAATAAAAAAAACCTGTTCACTTTTAATGCAAGTGTGAGAACTAAAAAAATTGTCAAAGTAGAATTTGTGGAAGTGGGATGCCAAATATGGAACTGTTGTGTGCCTATTTTCCTTTTTTTTTTTTCCGTAAGAAAGGGAAATGAAACAATTTGAATTCACTGCTTTTTTTCAAAGGTAGTTTTCTTTGGGAGAGAATAGTCAGATTCTGGTGCCCCATACTCTCGTAATGAGGTAACAAGCTTGCTTCTCATTCAGTGTGGTATCCCTTTACTGGCCTGTGGGGGTGAAGGAACATTGGAAAGATGTGTCTGAGAAGGATGGATGATATTTGGCCCCGATCACCCTCACCCTTGGCTGGCGAAGCTCTCAGGGAGTAGAATCCACGAAGATCATGAGATGAGAAGGAAGACAATCATAAGGTGTTGAGAGTACCGTTTGGAAGGCGGGCCTCTGTGAATGCAGCATACTGGTCTCTGTTCTGTAGGGGTAGGTTAGAATTACAAACCAGAGACCTCTGCCTACAAATAAGAAAAACATGGAGGAGCACACAAGCCCTGGAATGTTGATAAGAGCTGAGAACAAAATTGTGGTGAACGCTTTTGAGTTTTGTTGAGTTTGTTCTATTACAAGGGAACAAGTTAAAGCCGCAGAGCACTTGGAAGTGCCGTCATCAGAACCTCTTTAGAATAGAATAGACTAGAACACTGCGTCACCAGCATTCCCGGCGTCATGCCATGTGCTCCCGGTGACATGCTATTGTGGGCTGAAATCCCTATATCCCACTACATCTTGATGCTGCCCCTGACTTAGTATGGATACAATGCAGATTATCTGTGCATTTTACTTTCAATTCAACTTTAAATTTCGCCAGCTGCAAAACAGATGGATTGCATCACCTCTTTCTCCTGACGCCTGTGGGTCAGTTTGACACAGAATAGGGAGGATGGCTTTGCGGCTTCCAAGTACTATGAAAGTGCAAAGGCAGCTTGGAGCAGTAGAATCTGGCACCTGGAGCTGCTGCTGGGCCCGAGGACCAGCGATAACTGTGTAGGGACACTAGCATTTGTTGTGTAGATGATGATTCAATTTTCTTTCCCACCTTCTGCCAGCTTTAAAAACATCTTTCCAGCTCAGGCTAGCATTCTCTTACTCTGTTACCTAGTGCCTCCAGCAAAAGGATCAATTTCACAGTATCTGAAGTATGGAAATTCATTTTGGTCTGTAGATTTGACTTTTAATTTTTTTTCACTGTGGAGCACTGTGGAGACAATACCTGAAGTAAAATAGCCCTGTGATTCTAATCTAACGTGTAACACATGTGGAATTAAAAAGGAAATCACAGCTTATTTTATATGACCACCAATTTAACCTATAAGCTATGATTGAACTGTAAATACTACAGAAATACTTTTTTCAGAATGGAATTCTCGTGATTCCTTTGCTGGCGCCCAGTTGACTGCCTCGTTATTTTACCTCGTGTGCATCAGCAGAGAAGGCCCCCCAGGCTGAGCAGCTTGGCAATGGCGACAATTCAGAAGGACCTGAGTCCTGTTCTGTATGCCTTTTATTTTGCCATTGCACTTTCGTCTTGGTGCTAACCTACAATACAAAAACATGATATTAAAACAAAAGTAAGTGCCCGCCCCCACCAATGCTGCAGAGGGTACAGGGGCAGGCTTGGTGTGTTGATAAAATGCATTCATGTACAAAGGAAAGTAAGTACGAGACCTATTTTCTTAAAAAAAAAAAAAAAAAACTATTGTTTTTACCTGTTCTTCTCTCTTGTCCTGACTTCACTGCAATCACTCTGCTGACCTCTCTCTTTGTGCCTTTTTCTAGCTGAGAGTCATTTTTCAAAGCCTTATAGGATGATAAAAATAATAAATGTTAGAAAATATATAAAAAGGGTCATGGGCCAGACAGGCAGCATTCTACTTTTAAATATAATCATTCGTACTGGTAGAGTAACTTCATTTTGTTGTTGTTGGTGGTGGTATTTGTTTGTTTGTTTGTTTTGTTGTTGTTGTTTTGGTTTGTGTGTGTGTGTGTGTGTGTGTGTGTGTGTGTGTGTGTG